GTATTGTGTGTGTTTCTTGTTGCCTTCTCTTTCCTTTTTTGTTCTCTGGTTGTTGAGAGTTCTCTTTTTAGAGTGGCTTCTTCTGCCCTCCTTATCTCCTTGGTTTGTGCGCCATCTAGAGAGTGAAACCGAGAGAGAGAGAAAATGGGGGGCTAGTGGGCTTTATTACATATAGGCCTGGTTGGCAAAGATTGGGCTGGGGAGAGAGGTGGGCTTTTGGGCCCATTTGAGACATTATTTAGACTTGGGCAAATCAGTCCGGATCACATATATAATACATTTAATCAATGTTATCAGAACCGGACCGGCTATGAAACCGGACGACCATTTGGGTCATGGGTTTATAGGGTCGAACCGGTTCAACCGAGTTTTTGATTTTTTTTAATATGCCATTATTTTATTACTTTTAATATTTTAAAAATATTATTTCTGTATATTTTTAATCTTTCCATTTATTATTTTCACTTTTATCTACTTCACCTCACTTTTTACTATATTTTATTGCTTATATTCTATATTTTTCCGCTTTTTATTCATCAAATCCGACAATCGGCCACCCCTGTTCGATCACCCATGACCATATCCGACAATCTTTCGACCACCCATTACTAGATTCTGCCACCCACTATTAAGTCTGTGAAGGGTCGCTCAAATCAAGCCACAAATAACCAACTCATCGATGATTCGAGACGTTTTGGCCGAAAACTGGGTTCATTAACTGACTCGTCGGTTCTCGGGTTTTACCCGGTCGAACCGGATTTTGGCCATTTGACCCTGGTTTTCGATTTCTCCGGTTTTAGATGTCAGACCGGACCGCTTTATTGCCGGGTCACGGTCGAACCGGTCCGACCGGCCGGTTCGGTCCGGTTCTAACAACGTTGCATTTAATACTCCACTTTGCCAATGCGGGAATTGGAGCAAAAATGTACATAAACCTGGCATAAATGTACATTAATTTAATAAATACTACCCTGGGAAATTCTCTTAAGAGTAAAATTCAGTATTAAACAATCGTATAGATCAATATTAATTTCATCACGTTTTAATTATACAAGTCATATTTTTTCTTCTTTTATTCATTTGCTTTTATATATTTTGTTTCGGTTCGATTTATGTTTTTGTTTCAAGGTTCCGGTTTCGATTTATGTTTCGGTTCCGATTTCAGTTTGATTTCGGGTTTGTCCGATTTTGGACCCAAATGATTTATTTATTTTGAACGGGCCCAATTCCACAATTCACTTGAGGCAGCCAAATACTGGTGTTGGCCACACATTCACTAAAGCCCGTATGAAGAACCTTCTGGATTTCCATCTTCACCGTCCATCTTGGGTAGTCAATCTTGGCCGTCCATAACGTCCCCTAAATAATTTGCCCTATACATAATATGACTTATGCCGCTGTGTACTTCTTCTTTATGTACCATATGTCCTTCTGCTTGCTCTCTTCTTGTCTTCTTCAGGCGACTTTAGAGTCAAATGCCACCAACTATGGTAGACTTTGACTCTGAGACGCTTTATCCGCCGATGACCGTTGCATTTCAGGCTATAAATGTTTGTTGTTGAGACGGAGAAAAGGGGTAACATACAAATTCATGCTTTTCCTTCATTTTTTGTCTTCATTCTTCTGTGAGTAAGAGATACAGTCTTAATAAGGAGTGATTAAACATAGAATTATGAGTGTGCTCGAGAGAAAAAAAAAATGAGTTATGGGTTGACCAGTCGGATCTAGGTTTTCTGGGTTGGTGTAGCAACAAATTCTTATCTGCGAATTTAACAAACAAGAAAATACTTGCACAAAGATAATTTATTGAATTAAAATAAAATATTGCGGGTTACAAACTCTAATTTAATCCTCTGATTATTCTCTCAAGAAAAATATATGATTGACTTTGAATTTCGGAGACGAGTCGTTGACTTGATCTTCTCCGGATTTGATTTGGATTTGAATAACGTCTTCCGAGGGTCTTGCGACTTGAATCTCGGATCGAACGCTAAACTTTGACGGATTTTGACTTGAAGATCTTGGAGTTCTTGATGGATTTGGCCCTTCAATCTTCCCTCGATCTTGATTTGATCGATCTTGATTTGATGTTAATCTTGTTAATTCGAGGGTTTAGCACCGTAATCTCGAAAACGCCTTGATTTGATGAAGAACACCTTCGATTTGATGAACTCCTTCGATTTGATGAAGAACGCCTTGAATTTGATGAAGAACTACTTGAATATTGTAGAGAGAATTTTCTCCTACGGTTTTTATTCTTCTTGAGTTGTGTCTTGAATTGTGTAGAGAGGGTCCCTATTTATAGTGGTAGAATAAGAGTCCTACTTAAAGTCTACTTGCTGACGTGGCGCGATTTGATTGGCTCTCTTTAAATTGATATTTATCTCTTATAACTTGGAAGAGAAGAAATAATCCTATTGGCCAATAATTAATTGATAATTATCTCCATAACTTATTTTGTAGGATAAATTATAATTTAATTTAGACACAATATAATTGGCTAATTTAATTAACCAATTAATTAATTTTATGCGTCTACAGTTGGTTCCACAGTTTTCTGAGTTGAGTGAGGTGAATTGATCGGTCTCAAGTTGAGTGCTTGACACCTATTGGAGTCACCGCCAATTGAATTTCTAGACGTGGATTGGATAATTTGGGGATAGAGCCGTTGTTGTACAAATACAACTCCATGTGTAGAAGTTATTATTGTTTCGAACTAGTACCCAACAGGTTTCGATTTCGGTTTTTGTTCGATTTCAGTTTCAGAATTTGGTTATGATTGGGTGTTCCTCCATCTAATTGATTCATGAGTGGGTTTTCTCAAATGCCCGTATTATCCAAAGTATTATTCATGAGTATTGGTTGATAAAGGCTAAAAAAAATCACTCATAATAAAACACAAACAACAAAGTATGAATATGTTTTAAGTATTGCATTATTAAATAAGACTAGATTCTACGTAACACTATATTAGCAAGACTTAGCAATGTCACTACATATTTATACATTTCATAAATTTAATAATATTATTTTGGTAAAACAGAGTAAGTAAGGTACATAACTATATATAAAAATAAAAAATACGCACGTGCACCTACTTAGTATGACAAATAGTCAAAACTAACCATTATTTATTATAAGCTGAATTTAGAAAGCGTAATAAATTACTACTTTATTCGTAGATAGATATACAAACTAGACTATAATGGTGAATAAACCAATAGAACATCATCCAAGGTTTTTGACAGAGAGAGATAGAGAGCACAGGTGAGATAGTTATTGTTACATGCAATATGCTTGGCGCCGGAGTTTGGCGGCGGCCAGCTCACGAAATTGACATCGATCGCTGTGCACTTCCAAGAACTGCGTTGCCACGCCTCCCCCGGAGGCGGCCACGATCAGTCATGGACACGTGGCCTGGGATGTTGTGGGCCCCCCTAATTAAGGTACTAATTTCTTCTTTGCAGGAACAAATAAAGAAAGAGTTAGCTTTAATTTGGAGAGAAATGAATATATACTAAGATGTAATAAAATAATAATGTGATAGTGTACAATTACATTTATAATGTAGGATGGGCAGCAAACCTAACTTGATGTGAACCTAATATAAATGGTTTTAATGGGGAGTGATAGCTAGGTGATATATATATATATATATATATATATATATATATATATATATATATATATATATATATATATATGTATATTATTTTATTTATTTTATTTAATTTTTTTTGTTTTTGCCGGTTGATACCCGTCGATTTTTGGTCATATGTTCACTTTCGTACTCGAACAATTGAAAATATGATCGTTCTTTCGGACTAAAATCAATAATTGACTCAAAAATATAATAAAGGTTTGATGTTTTTAGTTTTTGTGATTTTCGTCCGCAGTGATTCGCGAAATCAACACTTGAATGTCTCGTAATTGTACCGTACCCTCACTTGATTCTTTGGTTTCTTAAGCCTCCCACCTCTTCAAGATCGATCAACGTGTATCGATCGAATTCGAGAATGTATGCGTGTCCAAGTGTTCAATTTCCTTGGAACGAGAAGAGACAAATAAAATTAAGGGTTGAATACAAAAACACCCTTGTACTATGGACTTTGTATCATATGACCCTGTGTACTACACATAAATACAAAAACCCCTCTACTGCTATATCTTTTCCACAATCTGACGAAAATACCCCTACTAAGCCTATAAATATAAGGGTTTGTTTAAGCCATTTTCCACTATATTTTTTAACATTTTCGGTCAATTCTACTTGGGAAATTTTTATATTTTTTTTTCTCCTACTTAGATTTTTTTATTTTTTTTGAATAAAATCTTTTATTTTTGTCATTTTGAATTTCTTCATTGTTTTCTTAAATGTCTTCCGGTAGTTCAAATTCTCAACAATTATAGGATTGTAAAGATGTTTGTAATCTTAGGATGTTTGAACTACCGGAAGACATTTAAAAAGAAAAAAAAAATGAAGAAGCTCACAATGACAAAAATAAAAGGTTTTATTCAGAAAATTAAAAAAATCTAAGCAATAGATGTTTTGGAGAAAAAAATATAATACCAAAATTTTCCACGTAAAATTGACTGAAAATGATAATATATATATACACACACAAATATATATATATACATATATATATATATATATATATATATATATATATATATGCATGAGTATGGGTATTTTTGTCATATTTTGAAAAAAAAATATATAATGTGAGGGGAGGGGAGTTTTTATATTTATGTGTAGTACAAGGGGTATATGATACAAAGTTCATAGTACAAGGGTATTTTTGTATTTAACCCTAAAATTAATTAATAGTCTATTGAAATAAGTGAGCCCTAGGCATAAGCAAATTAGGCATGTGTCTAGGGCCCCAAACTCTTATATATTATGTAAGGCCCCCAAAAAACTATGTTTTGTTACAATTAGGCCCCCAAATATTGATTATTTATATATATATACGCATATATAAATAAACAAATTGCAAATGGAGCTAAAAATTATTTACTAAATATATATTCGACTCAAAGTCATTGCAGTTACTAAAAAAAGCTAATAAAACACCACTTGGTGAAACACTCTTCAAGTACTAACTACTACAAACCATTATTAAAGTATTACTACACCAAAAACATTTTACTCAAGCATCTCAAGATCATCATCATCAATTTCTTGAATCTTCATCCTCTTCACAGCTTGAGCGGCGTCCGTCGAGCGGCGCCCGTTGGGCAGCTGAATCAGCACATCAGATTTCTCCCCCGTCGCAGAATTCACAAGCCCTCCATTCTTCTCCACACGATAAGTCAACTCTTTCCCGTCCAACAAAGCATCAATATACACCGTCGAGTTCTCGTCAATTTCCTCTCTCACTAGCATCTTCGAAAGCTCAGTCACCACCTTCTTCTCCAGCCACCTCCTTATCGGCCTCGCACCATAAACCTAAATCCCCCAAAATAACCCCAATCAGAATCCGAAAATTAATCTCAATAAAATATCATACAATGTTATATATCTATATATATATAATACATACACATACTTACCGGATCATAACTTTCGGCCAAGATCACGTCAAGTGCTGTTTCTGTCACACCCAAAGCAATACCCCTCTCAGCCAAACGACTCGCAACATCTTTTAACTGGAGTCGGCACACTTTCCTAAGTTGATCGTGCGAGAGGGGATCGAATACCACGATTTCATCGAGCCGATTGAGTAACTCGGGCTTGAAGTGCTTTCTAACCTGACAACCGATCAAAATAGTTTTTGAGTAAATCCCTTAAACCGAAAAAAGTAGTACATTGTTTTAAACCGCCAAAAAACAATGAAAAAATGAAAAAAGAAAATAAGTTTTTACCTCTTGCATAACCATCTCGCGAGCACTTTCCATGGTGCTCTTCCCCATCAAACCTCGTAAAAGGTACTCTGCTCCAAGATTCGACGTCATAATAATGACTGTATTCGTAAAGTCAACCGTCCTACCTTGACCATCCGTAAGTCTTCCGTCATCCAAAACTTGTAGCAAAGTGTTGAACACCGTGGGATGGGCTTTTTCGACTTCATCGAAAAGAATAACACTGTATGGCCTTCTCCTCACGCCTTCGGTGAGTTGGCCCCCTTCTTCGTGTCCCACATAGCTGCAAAAAAAGGGGCAAAAAGAACGCAATACGTTAATTATTTAACAATCAAAACTTCCGATTTAAAACTTTTAAAGAAAGGGAGCTCAAGACTTACCCTGGAGGAGCTCCAATCAATCGAGCGACTGAATGCTGCTCCATGTACTCCGACATATCAATCCTTATCATCAAATTATCATCATCAAACAGCTGTTCAGCCAAAGCCTTTGCAAGCTCGGTTTTTCCCACACCTGTGGGGCCCAAGAAGAGGAAAGATCCGGTGGGCTGCTGGGGCCTACCGAGCCCGGCCCTAGATCTCAAAACAGCCTCGGCGACAGCTGTCACCGCTTGGTCCTGTCCCACGACTCGTTTGTGCAGTCTATCGCCAAGGCCGATCAACCTCTCCTTGTCATTCTGGCCGAGACGAGTGACAGGTATGCCGGTCCACCGGCTCACGACCTCAGCGATTTGATCGGGGCCCACGGTTTCAGTCAACATTGAGTCTTCGGTGGCGCCCGATTCCAGCGTGGCAATGGAAGCTTCCACATCCTGTATCGCTCCGTATCTCAAGTCGGCAGCTCTCGCGAGATCATATCGCCTTTCGGCTTCTTTTAGTGCGTGTAAGAGCTCGTCCCGCTTCTGTTTTAGTCGCCTTAGCTCGTCGATTCTTTCCTTCTCTTTTTTGTATCTCATTGACAAGGGCTGTAGCTTATCTCTCAAATCATCCAATTCTTTCTTCACCTGTAAAATCGATGAGAAAAAGATACAAAATTCGGTTGAGCATTAATATAATTTTCAATAAACGAAGACAATACGACAAATAATCATCAAAATTATACGTACTTCAACGAGCCTAGCTTTACTAGCTTTGTCTTTCTCCTTCTCAAGAGCATGAAGCTCAATCTCCAAATGAATCCTCTTCCTCTCGAGATTATCGATTTCTTCGGGCTGACTATCGAGCTGGACTCTCACATTCGCACAAGCCTCGTCGACCAAGTCAATCGCTTTGTCCGGTAAATGTCTCCCTAAAATTCGGATAAACATTTAGTACTCCAAAATCAAGAAACTCCAAAAGCTTAAAACACTACAAAAAAAAACACACTATCACATACCTGTGATGTACCGAGCAGACAATTGAGACGCAACTATAAGAGCCCGATCTTGAATCTTCACACCATGATGGCCCTCATACTTCTCTTTTAAACCCCTCAAAATACTTATCGTATCTGGCACACTCGGCTCCGCCACATAAACCTGCTGAAAACGTCTCTCAAAAGCGGCATCCTTTTCAACGTACTTTCGATACTCCTCCAAAGTTGTAGCTCCAATGCACCTCAATTGACCTCTAGCAAGCATCGGTTTGAACAAATTAGCCGCATCCATCGAACCCTCGGTTCGTCCAGCACCAAGAACAAGATGAATCTCGTCAATGAAAAGAATCACTTTTCCTTCGGCTTCTTCAACTTCCTTCAAAACAGACTTCAATCTCTCCTCGAACTCTCCTCGGTATTTCGCTCCGGCGATTAGAGCTCCCATATCCAATGCTATAAGCCTCACATCGAAAAGATTACTCGGTACATCACCATTGACAATCCTCTGAGCCAATCCCTCGACGACAGCTGTCTTACCCACACCGGGCTCACCGATGAGAACCGGATTGTTCTTCGTCCTCCTGGAGAGAATCCTAACAACCCTTCGAATTTCTTCGTCTCTACCGATCACTGGATCGAGTTTTCCAGCCTGTTCAACAAGATCTCGACCATAGGTTTTCAAGGCTTGAAAATTCGAATCCCCAGAAGCGCTCTCAACTTTTTTCCCTTCTTTGCCACGTAATTTTTCAACTTCCGATTTCACTTTCGTGGTAGTTACTCCAGCTTCTTTTAACAGGTCTTGGATTTGGGAATCTTCTAGAAGGCCGAGGATTAATTGATCGACAGCTAAATGTGTATCACCGCGGGATTTTTGGAGGGACTGGGCTCGACGAATGATCTTGATTGTGGAAGTGCTTGCAGGTATGTCGTCTGGTGGAGGGTTCTGTGTGGGGAGTTTTTTAATGGCTTGGTTGATTACTCGCTCGGCTGCATTTGCGGATTCCTCACTGCCGCCTGCGCCGGAGATTGCTTGCCGGAATATTCCGTGGGGTTCGGAGATCAGAGCAGCGGCGAAGTGCAGCGGGGTGAACTGAGCATGGCCGGCGTTGAGTGCTAGCCCATGAGCTGCGGCTAGCACTTCGTTCGTCTTGTGAGTGAACTTGTCTGGATTCATTGTTAGATATACCTCTCGAGAGATTCTGTCAGAAAACAAAAATCGGAAAGTAAGAGATTAATATGATCGGCATTTAATGAACCAAGAAAACAAATTATGAGATACACAACATATATGGAACTTTCATGACATTACTCAACCAAACAAATCCAAAACAATCGAAAAACATAAACGCCGATATCATACTTTTATGGTTCATATTTCTTTCGTTTTAAACAGTTAATTCCACCAAGAGATTGTACCAGGAACATTAAGAAAAACATAAGGCCACGTTTGGCTACCAAAATAAGATTATTCAAGATAAAATTAGATAAATCTAACAAAAACTCGATTGTTTTATCGAACTTTGGGTTGTCCGACAAAAGAGCTCCCTAAAAGACGAGATAATTGGGAACACCAAACATCAAACAGAGTTCAATTATCAAATTACCAATTATTTAGTTAATCATGGCTTATCTTCCCAACCAAACGAGAGACCTACCAATATCACGTCCAAAGTCGACCGGCCAAATGTACATTAACGACGGTGATTACAACACAAACAAAGATATATAAACTGAATCTTGAAACCGTCTGACAAATGAATACGCTCAAGAAAATTTAATAATACATTCAAACTGAAAAAAAAAAAAAAAAAAAAGAAAAACAGAGCATCATATTCATAATGGCAACATACATTCATTACCGAAGAAACCCACAAGCGGAAAAAATATACAAAACACGGTTGCATGTACGATCAACACGAAATTTATAAACACAGAAGAAAAGAAAAAAAACACAGGGAGAAATGCAGCGGGATAGGCGTACCTTTAGCGGGAAGTGGAAAGAAGAAACGATGAGTTTGAAAAATCGAGAATTTCTGCGTTGGTTTAACAAAGATTTGATATTTTTTAGGGATTTTGATTTTGCAAGTGAGGAATTATTTGTTCGTGGGGTGGGTTTTTGTTAAGGTGAAAAGAGGGGTCTGGAATTTCGAAGGTGCCGCTAGAAACTACTAGACTTCTTCTCGTTGCTACTTGCTACCTAATTAATTCATTTTTCTTTTTTGGGTAAATTACAAACACCCCCCTGAGGTATGGTCAAAGTACAAAAAAACCCCTCTTGTTTGGATAATTACATCTACCCCTCAACTATCATTTTTTCTTACACCTCCACCCTTATGGTGCCAAATTCAACATAATCATCTAGATTCCATGTAATGTGCTCTAGTCTGTACTCATTTTGCGTAAATATACAGTTTCCGATGCACCACAAACTGATATATAAAAGCTAAAAATCACATATTATGATCATCTTGCTTCATAATGTAGAGTTTGAATAGAATAAAACGGGTACAAAAGTGATAATATTCCATATAATCTCGAAGATTCCACTAAATTTGAGGAGTTGAGGGGTGGTTGTAATTATCCAAACAAGAGGGGTGTTTTTGTAATTTGACCATACCTCGGGGGTGTTTGTAAGTTACCCTTCTTTTTTTGCTCTTTTTATTTTAATTATTAACAGAATTTCTGGCCTTCTGGTCTTTTCCGGGGAGTTCTTTTTCCTTTTTTATTTTATTTTTTTATTTTATTATAAAATAAAAAATTCTAATTTTATAAAAATGTTTTTATATTTTTTTCCCAATATTTTTTATTTTGTCTTCATTAATAATTAATAACAATAAATTTGGATCATACATGTATCGTTTTTTTGCAAACGAGACGTATTTGACCTTGAATTTTGTTGGGGAATATGTATCATGACTGCAATGAACATAACACATAATTTGTATATTCAAATGTGTTTTTCTTTTTATTGTATATATTCAAATGTTTACACTAACAATGAAGGGGATACGTGTCACAATCTCCAGTACTTGTAATGGTTCCAAATTCATGTGATACCCAAATGCATTGAAATAAGAAAATTTAATCGTTTGTTGGATTTTTGCATTTTCGTCTAGTTGGATATATTACCTAATGCATGTTTGTTAGTCATGGTGATAATTGTAGAATTAGATGTTATACCTGGTTATTTACGTTAGGTGGATTTAAATTTAAATTTAATTAAATAATTTCTCACTAAACACACATATACATGGGTGTGTATTTAAGTTCACTCAATATAAATAATCAGGTGTAACATCTAATTTCACATAATGACCGAATAATGGTGTATGAGTGATGGTGATTCAGGGTGGCCTCTCAACCTATGCTCTTATACTAAGCGTTATAACTAACTTATATGGGTAAATTAGTGAAACCTCCTCTCCTATTTTTTTTAATAGGGACTATTAGGGAGAACTCCAACATTATTTTAAAAAGGATGGGGCAACTTTTTTTTCTTTATTAGTGAGTAGTGAGAGACCTATCATTTCTTTATACCCAAATTTGCGCTTTTTTTATTCACTACTCATTATCCACCGCTTTGATGCATTTTTATTTATTTTTTATTTTTATATTTTAATTATTTATTAATTTTAAAAAATTAGATTTTTTTTCCAGAAAATATTTCACTTTTTCGATTTTTTTTATTGTTAATTTTTTTTTTCAGAACCAATTGCAATATGTCCAAAATCAACTATAATACTTTCGAAATCAACTATAATATTTCTTAAAACAACTATTTAAAATTATTGAAAACAACTACTTTTTTTTTGGTTTTTTTTTCTCATAACCAATGTAAGAAGATAATGAAACAACTAAAAAAGTAGTGGTTTACAACAACTGGTTCACCAAAAAATAACAACAACTATAAATTATCGAAAATCAACTATAAAAAAATCAAAATAAATTTTAAATTATCGAAATCACCTACAAAAATATCGAAAGCAACTATATCATAGTTGATTAATATGTATCTCCCGTTGGAAGATACATATTAATGAAAACAACTACAAAGGTATTAAAACTACAAAAGACACTCTCGATTCCAGCAAAATTACTATAAATTTGCGCCAATACAACTACGAAAAATACGATCTCCTCCAATTCACCTTCATTTCCGACTCTTCAACACGGCACAATTCTTCATAAATCACGTGTATATGATTGGTTTCACCAATTCAACTATGGAAACACCACAAAATTACCTACGAAAATCACAAATTCAACAGTGAAAGCTAAGATATCAATGCAACTACGAAAACCATCAATTCAACTATGAAAATATTACACAAATATACTAGAAGATTCATAGATCTATGGGGGAAAATAAGCATAAAGCATAGTTTTAAAGTTGGCAAATCATTAACATAATTAAACGAACCCATAACAATTCCACCTTAAAAACTAAAATTAGTCTGATCTTATAATCTAAAATAATATACCTAATTCAATTCAATCAAACTAAAAAAAGTTGCAAAATTTCCTTACTAAGTAAATCGTATACACAACAGATCGACATAGTATATTAGCTTCATATTCCAAATAAATGTAACAAAAAAAGGAGGAAAAAAACAAGGACATGAATAGATAGGAAACAGACCTCTAGGCGGCGAATCCAATGAACTTGGAATCGAAAAGCTTTAGGATACCGCCGGAAATGGAGGCGAGCTCCTAGATCTGGATATGTAGGTTGTGATAGAGGACACAGGGCTCTCGTCTTCGCGACTCTCCGTTTTCTGCTCAATTGGTGATGTTTTGGTAGGCGAAGAGGAGGTTATGTTCCTCGGTGGGAGAAGGTTGCGTTCCTCCGCGGAGAGAACAATAGCAGGGAGAGAAAATAGAAGGAAGAGGGTGGTGAAGAAAAAGAACGTAGGGGAAAAAGAGAAACATGTCAAATATTAAATAATATTACGTAAAGAGCAAACTAGGTATATTACATCGAAATTTAATAAATATTAATTTAACTTTATAAATAGGGTCTTTCTAGGGTGAGATACCTCATGTTCTAAACTTTTATGAGATATGCATTAATCACCATTAATTTTCTAAGATTAAATCTGGACCCTAGGAAAATAACATAGCTTATGTTCTAAAAAATGAAGTACTTTACCAAATTATCATTCGATTATTTTTTTTTATTAAATTAATATAAAATTGATTAACATTGAATTGTCTAATTTACCCCCTACTATATTTTAATTAAATAATTAATTTGATAAATAATCGAAAAAAATGCATTCATTAGAAATAGAACTTGTGACCTCTTAATACATTTATCACTCCTAACCATCCAAGCACATTAACTTATTATGATATATTTAACCATAATTGTATAAATACTGTTAATGCAAATATTAATTGCAACATTCATTATTATTAAATGGTATTAAATAAATTATTAACAAATTTAATAAAATAAAGTTTGAAAAATATAAAGAATTGTAGTTCAATAGCCCAAACATCTATCATTAATTATATAATATTAGAAGTATTAATAAACTCCACCATTTAAAAATGTAAACGATGCTCAATTAAATATAAAAAGATGCATAACTTAATTCAAACTCACTTATGTTATTTAATCGATAGTGTGGCAAATCCAAATAAAAAATAAAATAATATGTTTATTTAGAAGAAGAAAAAATTATAACTCATTCATATTAGTAGTTTTCTTACTTTAAAATAAAAGTATATACTACAAATACTATATTGTGAATTTTCTTTTAATATTTAATTTAATCAACTAGTAAGATTTGAATCGATGAAGTACAAATCCTTTCAATTAGTAAACATTATTCAAATATTTGAATCGATTGCTTAACTATTGACATAACATGTTACATAATTGATTTAACTATTTATAAGTAATGTCTAATATATTTTTAATTCAATTTTGTCATTAAAATAATAAATTTAATTCCTAACACATGTAAGAACCTAATCGTAAATCATAATATTTTATCAAAGCGTAATATTTGAACCAATTAAGCTCAAGTCCTTTCATTTCGTAAACATTATTCAAATATTTGAATCGATTCATAATACATTTTTAATTCAATTTTATCATACAAAATAATTCCTAAATTACGCAAAAATCAAATCATAAGATTAATTAAAGCGTATGATTTGAATCAATTAAGCGCAAATCCTTTTAATTTGTAAATATTACTCAAAAATTTGAATCGATTAAGTTCAACCACTTACAAGAACGTATTAATCGAGTTAACTATTTATAATTAAAGTCTACTATCCTTTTAATTCAATTTTAACAACAAAATAATAATTTAATTCGTAAAATCGTAAGAATCAGATCGTAAATCGTAAAATTTAATCTAACCATGAACCGATTAAATCTTACGATTTTTACGAATTAAATTTTATTATTTTTTATGATAAAATTCAATAAAAAAAGGTTACTAAACTTTAACTATACACATATTGATTAATACGCTATTGTAAATTATTGAGTTTAACCGATTCAAATATTTAAATATTGTCTACGAATTGAAATGAGTTGAGCTTAATCGATCAAATCTTTGAACATAGTTTTTGAATTGAAAACACATGAGTTTAATTGATTCAAATATTACGATTTAATTAAATCTTAAAATTTACGATTCAGTTCAAACTTCAAATTCTTTCGAAATTCATTTTTAAATTACACGAGTTGAACAACATTTCCTTAGATTTTTAAATTATATTATATAAAGATTTGTTAGTATGGGATATTCTTAATATATAATAATAATAATAATTATATGAGAATTAATAATTTATTTAACATTATTTATATAAGTTTTATAACCATTATAAATTGTAGCTTTGTGATATATCCATATTGTTAGTTTATTGTCAATTATGTGTTGTGTATTAATGGTAAGTATTCTTGTATGTTTTCAGATGGTCACAAGTTCGAGTTTAGGTTGATGCAATTTTGGATGGGTGGTTTAATGATTTTTAGGAATAATGATATAATTGAATTTATAAATTTTAATTCAGCAATAAATATATATTTAAAATTGCATTAAAATAGAGAGGTTAAAATTAACATTTCATTAATAGTTTATAATTGCTGAATTAAAATTTATTTGTAAAAATAAATAATTGTAAAAAGGGTATTTAC